TCATACTCTGATTAGTGCCTGGTGCCCGATGTGAGGCCTGTGTTTTTCCCTTGGACGACGGCGGCCTTAAACAACATATCCAAGTAGTCGTGTTTCCATGTGGGAGTTGGGGTCTTGCCTTGCCCAGCCGTTCGTTCCAAGAGATTTGTTGATCAAGCGTCCTCGCGCTTTGCCTTTCTTGAGCCACCTTCACCACGCCCACAAAGAGGACCAACGATAGCTGCAAAAGTTGTCGCTAGGCGGCTTGTGTTGTGGCGAAGACTGGCGGTAGCTGCCGATAAGTTGTCGCTACAGCAGGCGGGCAGAGTCTTACGGTATGGTATGCCCGTAAGCAACCCAGACTATACTAGGCTTTGCCTTTCCACTTGCTTACTAGATCCTCCCCTCGCTGCTCGTCGTTTGCTCATGGAAGTGCAAGACCATCAGTCAAGCGGCGCGGCGGTGGGCTGCGAGTCACGTCAGCATGCCCTTAGAGTCGCCGACGTACGAGCAGCAGCTGCTAATGTACGGAAAGCAGCTGAAAAAAGGTCGCGGGCGACGTGCAGTTGAGAAGGAGGCCAAGCCGTCGATCATGGCCGATCTGTCCCGGGCGGTCTCGCATCATGGCGTCGATCTGTGGCTCGACGCCTTCTGCCTGAGGGGGCACGTCGGGGACATGACCGTCAAGAAGGCTGTCGAGGCAGTGCTCCGAACCAAGCTCAAGCAAAAGGTACGCAGCAAGGCTCGCGTGACGTCTTACGAAGCAGACGCAGCTTGGAGCCCCAGCTTTGTAGTGTACGGCTCGGATGCTTTGTGCGGCTGTACGGCAGACGAACCGGCACAGAACGGAAGAACTAGATTACTAGGGCATGCGGGTTGAGAGCGAACGGCGTGTAAATCGTGCCGACTTTCTGCCTAGTACCTCGGCAGTAACAAACCGGTGGTGAGCCATTAGTTGACTGTCGGTGGGGGTGAAGCCGAAGCCATTGATTAATGCATCCAACGGTAGCAGTGAGACAAGGCTAAGGTTGCGGAGTTGCGAGTGACGGACGCCGGCCCAGTCTTCCGTTCACCCGTGCCTTCTCTTTACCGTGCGTAACTCTCGCGCCCACTTGAAAAAAAAATTGATGAACGAATTTCCCGGGCGTATGTTGCTGTGGCAGTATCCTGGCCTTCTGGCCAAACGCCGCGTAGCCGATGCCCCGAGCTCGACCGTCGACGGCGCCGGACCGGCCGATCTCGCCTCTCCCAAGAGTGGAGCGAGCGCATGGGGCTCGGGCAGCTTCAGCAACTTTGCAGTAGCTGCCAGCGCCTCTCCCGCCACTAGGGGCCTTTTCGGAGCTCCAGCTGTGGCGGCAGCCGGACCGAAAATATTGACGCCGACATCGGTGGAGCTACCGGCGGGGATAGGGGACCGGGCTACCGCTTCATCTGCTGCCGCTCCCTCCTCCGCCGCTGCTGGTGGTGCTGGTGCTGCTGCTATAGCTACTGCCGGGTATGTGAGTAGTGGGAGAAGTGGTGGCGATGGTGTTGGTGCTGGTGTTGTTCCGTCATTCTCGTTTGAAACAGCCGGTAGGCCGCCATCTAGGCCGCCATCCAGTGTATGGGGCTCGGGCAATATCAGCAGCTCCGGAACAGCAACAACAACCTCTCCCGCCACTGCCGGTGCTTCAGGAGCTCCGACTCCGGCTCCGGCGGAAGCGGAACCGAAAATGTTGGCGCCGTCATCTTCAGAGCTCCCGGCGGGGAAAAGGGATGGGGCTGCTGCTGCTGCCGCTTTTACTACGACCGCTACCTCCGCCGCTGCCGCTGGTGCTGCTGGTGCTGCTGCTGCAGCTTGTGCCGGGCATGTGAGTGGTGGGAGAAGTGGTGGCGATGGTGTTGGTGCTAGTGGTGTTCCGTCATTCTCGTTTGGAACAGCCGGCAGGCCGCCATCTAGGCCGCCATCCAGTGTATGGGGCTCGGGCAAAATCAGCAGCTCCGGAACAGCAACAACAACCTCTCCTACCACTGCCGGTGCGTTCGGAGCTCCGACTCCGGTTCCGGTGGGAGTGAGACCGAAAATGTTGGCACCGTCATCGTCAGAGCTCCCGGCGGGGAAAAGGGATGGGACTGCCGCCACTGCCGCTTCTACTGCGACCGCTACCTCCGCTGCCACCGCCGCCGCCGCTGCTGCTGCAGCTAGTGCCGGGCATGTGAGTGGGAGTAGTGATGGCGATGGCGACGAGGACGGGGCTGTCGCCTCTACGGCGTCTCTTTCCGTCGCCTCTGCTACTACCGCCTCTGTTGCTCCCGCTGCTGCTCCTGCCGGACGCGTGGGTGTTGGTCGCAGTAGCTGCGGCGACGGTGTTGGTGCTTTTCCGACGTTCTCGTTCGGGACGATAGCCTCTGGGCCGCCGGCGAGGGCATGGGACATGGAGAGCTTCGACAACTTTGCAATAGCTGCCGGTTCTCTTCCCGCCACCAGGGGTGTTTTCGGAGCTCCGCCTCCGGCGGGAGCGAAACCGACAATGTTGACGCCGACATCGGTGGAGCTACCGGCGGGGACAGGGGACGGTGCTGCCGGTACTTCATCTGCTGTCGCTCCTGCTGGAAAGGTTGTGAGTGATTGTGACGATGCTGTGGTGGGTGAGCTAGGTACTCCTGCTCCCCGGCACGCTGCGACTTCGCCGGCCCCAGCAGATGGTGAGCCTGTAGTCGAGCAGGGAATGAACCCTGCGACTGGAACGAGCTTGCCACGTCAGGCGCCGCAGCAGGAGTCTGTCGGAGAGAGAGAGGACGACGAGGAGCAAGCGCCCAGGGGGACAAAGAGGAGAAGAGGGAGGGAGGAGGACCAGCAGCAGGGAGAAGGAGGAGGAGGAAAACAAGGAGGAAGGAGGGGGGGGACAAGGAGGGAACGAAACGAGCAGGAGAAGGGGGAGGAGAAGGAGGAGGGAGAGGAGGAGCAAGGAGGGGGAGGGAGGGGGGCGGGAGAAGGAGCAGGTTGAGGGGGGGGCGCGAGTAGATTGGTGAGTCAAGACAGAAAGAAAGCAACACGACTGAGGACATTGGACACCAGACTCCGATACCATATGCGAGAGTTGAAATCGGGGAGCACTGCAGGGGAGCATCGAAGAGGATATCTTGTAGCCAGAGGGTTCGCCATCGGAGGAGGAGAAGGAGGAAGATGAAGTTGTGTTCGTATTTGGGTAGCCGTAGCGTTCATTGACCACCAGAACCTTGACCTTCTTCAGGGTGCGTGCGTGTGGTGGATGCACACATGTACCCGCATCAACGCATGCGACTTTACAATGTATGGGCAACTGGGTTCTGGCGCCCGAAAAGTTACTATGCGGCCGTCTGTGGACAAGAAAATGTGGTACCTCGACCTGCGTGCACCTGCCGAGCCGAATACGCTCACTGTCATAGTTGTGTCTTTGCGCTTGGCTCTCTATTCCACGGATGGCGCGTCACGTCGTACTTTTGCGGCCCCTCCCCCCCCGCCTTAATTTCAAATGCCAAGGTGAACACTTTTAGGGTGAGCATGTGCTGTGCTCCTTCTTGGAGAGGGAGGGGCAGGTGGCCCACGCCATGGTCGGTGGGCACACACTTGCTCGAGGCAAGCAACGAACTTCTCGAGTCGCCACACCCTTTCTCTTCCAACGCAGCAAGAAGGCCAATACATGTGTCACACCCCACCCAAGCCCCACGTTCTTGTATCTATCTCCCCTAGGTCGCCCGTCGAACCGACATTCGTACCCCGAAGAGCAGGAGTCTTACACGGCAGTGGAGCCCGCAGCCAGTGATCGCGGCGATCCACGGCAGTGGAGCGGTGCCCGCAGCCTGTGATCGCGGCGATCCACGGGGCGTGCGTGGGAGGAGCGCTGGGCTTGGCATGCGCCTGCGACGTTAGGCTCTGATAGGCCTAGCGGCAGACGTCGGAGGTTGCAACGAGGCGCCCAAATGAGTCGCCTAGTTTTTCTTCGCTGAATATACTATGGTGGAAAGCCAAACAATGCAATGCGGCTTTGTGAGGATCTCTCAGACGAGGTCAGTTCACGGGTAGAGGAGGGGCACCCTTTGTTGGTGAAAATGGCCCTTTGTTGTCATCGTCAATTGCAACGAGCAGCATCTGTACACAGCAAACTTGCGTTCCAAACCAAAATAGATACTTGCACGAAGACAAAAATACAGCGTATACGCAGACCTCTGGGGTGTAGGTCTGACTCGCACGTCGAGTCCTCACACAACACGCGGTTGAGAACACCAATAGATATCACATGGTTCACGAGACATCGTCTCCCCTCGGCTGCTACACTCTCGCTGCAACGCGTATCTCAACCGTCTAATGGACACATTTTGTTTGTTGTTTCTCACATTAGCTCTAAAAAAAAAAAAGATTGGGAGCCCGTGGTCTCAAAACCCGGCATACATGACCCCACGAAGAAACAGAAAAAAATAGGGTACAAAAAACACTCTGAAGAGAAACAAAATGATAGAAAGAAAGACCAGCTACCGCATCAAACGAGAAAGAGCGTCGAGGAGACCGATCAAAATAAAATAAAAGGAGAACGGGGAACGCTTCCCACACCCGCCTACAACGCCGGAGGGTTCCGTGCCGGGTTCCCGCCGACCAGGCATCCCCCGCCCTGCACCACACCCCAGGGGGTGCAGCAAGACGGGGGGCGAAAAACAAACACATATATATTCCCACAAAAAAAATAAAAAATCGAAGGACAACGTACACCAGTACCAGGTACTACAGCAGTGCAGTATGCACCAGCGCATTAGTGTAGGGTAGGCACCGCACCAAAGAGGCAGCAGAGGTGGCAGGCAGCCAGCAAAGGAAAAAACAAAAATAACAAGGAGCTCGAGGTATCGTCCAAGATCATCGTAGAGAGGGCATGGAGAACAAGAAAGAAAGAAAGAAGAAAAGCACAAAGAGAGGCCGGAGGCAATACTAAGAGCATACAGCTTACGGCAGGGAAAAGGGAACACAGGGTGCGACAACATCATCAGTTGGGTACGTCGTTCGCCGCAAGCGCGGCCTTGGCCGCCCTACTCGCTTCTACAGCAGTGTCCGGTCGCCGTTTCTTCCCCCCCCCCGCCGCTTCCCCGATTCTCTTTCTCTTCGGGCCCGGGGCGGCCGTGCTCTCCGTCTCTGCTTCCTCCGCGCGCTGGCGCTGGCGCTTCGCGGATGCTTCCGCCTCCTGTCTGTGCCATTTCCTCATGAACCATGCCGCCCCGTCCTCGATCTTGTCGTACCACGCCTCCTGGTCCTTGGCGCTCTCTTTCCATCTCCCCCCCTCCTTCTCCTCTTTCATGCCAAACGCCACGAGGTCCTCTCCTAGGCGATACACCCAGTCGCTCTCCTGCCCGCCCCGGTATCCGGTACCCCCCGCCATCGCTCCCAGCAGCATGCGCTTGGGGAGGCGGTTGTCCTCCATGCGCATAACGAAGCCCGCAAAACACAGCCTCCGTTTGCGCACGGTGGCCTCGATGGTTTCCTCGCAGCCTGCCTGGATGAGGGCCTGGGCATAGGACAGGGGGCGGTCTGAGCGTTTCCGCTTGCTCCAGCCGATGCACCGTGTGAGGAACTGGCGGTGGGTCCCATTGAGCTTCGTGTAGTGCTCCGCTGTTAGGCTCCACGAGGCGCACCCATACAGGAGAGTCTCCACCACTTCAGCCTGGAGAAGCCGGATCTTGAGCTGGCGGTCGGCCCGTCGCCTGTCGTACATCGAAGCACTGTTCCGGCGGTAGCACTTCCACGCTCGGCAGCTGCGGCTCGTGATCTCCCGGTCGGCCTTCCCGTCCGCGGAGATGGTACGTCCGAGGTACACAAACCGATCTGTCTGCTTGTACGTCTGGCCAGCGGCGCTGACCGCGAACGGGCGTTCCCCCAGCCCTTTCGGCAGCATGCACATGATCTCCGTCTTTGGCTCCGACACCATCAGTCCGAACAGGCCGGCCACGCGCACGTATGTTTGTATGTAACCCATCTTCGTCAACAATCAAACGGGGGAACGCTTGAGCACCAAGAGGAATCGACCTCCAAGTTTTTTTTGTTCTTAATTTGTTTTTCTCCCATCATTGGACTCTGTCGTCTGCCCCTCTGGCCCCTATCNACTAGCTAGACGACCCAACCGGGGTCACATAGGAGGGGGGGGTTGGACCCCCTCCTGCGGTTCATGCCTGAGGTATTTTTATCGCGAGAAGGGTACAGCAATCCCTTCCCTCGCGACTTACGAAGTCGATTATGGTTTACTAACAAACGAGCTTTGCAGCGCGTCGCTTTCATCCTAGACCAGGATTTATTTAGTGGGAAAAAAACTCTCTTTGCCGGGACTCGAACCCATGACAAGGGCCGTTTTATACATGAAAAATTTTTGTACAAATTTTGTACAAATGTACAAATTGTCCGAAATTCCGGAACTTGTACAGAGGCGTTTGTCCAAATAAAGTCCAAAAATTCGGAACGAACCTGGGCGCCAAAATTTGTACTTAGCAGGCTGCGAGGCTACCCACTAGACCACCGGGACGACCGACTTGCACCGACCGACCCACGCCACCGCTGCTAGAAAGACTAGAACGCAAGCCAAACGAACAAAACGAAGGGGAGAATAGCCCACATGAGGGCCTCCAGACGTGTTCCCTCTCCCTGGTTCGGACATGATGTTCGTGTGTCTGGATACGAGCATGGTAGATCCGCTAGCAGCACGGGGGGGGGTACGTAGACAGTAGCATGCGTATGCACGAAAAAGGCTACTATGTGTGGGCCCCCTTCCCCGAATTCGGGAGGGCCATTTCTTCCCTTCCTTTCCTCGCTTTCGCGGATGCCTAATCAGAGAGAGTTAAAGCGTGTCTTCTCCTCCCAAGTACGGACATACCAACACACTAGTGTTTATTCCCTCGAGGGAGTCCATTAGGGATGGCGGGCCGCAGAACCGGAGGGACCACTCCGGACGGCTCGCAGGCAGGAGACACAAATAGCAGCGAGCAGATCGACAGCATGCGGTCTGAGATCAGTTCGCTGACGCAGCAAATGGGCCAGCTGGTGCAGCTGGTCGGAGGACTTGCTGCACGTATAGAGGAGAAGTCCGGCGGTGCCACGGAGGGCGCCGCTGAAAGCGGCGGCGCCGTGGAGAGCGTCGCCACAAGCACTGCAGGTCATTTTGGGACCGTGCAGTTCGACAGGAGCGCGCAGGCAGCGGACCTGCGAATGTCTTCGGTAGTGCGAGCGTGGGATACCAAAGCGTGAAGTACACAGCGCCCACGTTCAGCGGAGACGCCAAGAGCTTTTCTTCGTGGCTAGGAGATTTTATTATGGCAGCGAACACAGCAAACCTTCATAGCTTTTCGAGGAGGGGGGGGCGGAGATCCCCGTAAACAGTGGGCAGAGCAAAGTCCAACTGTCCAGGTTTTACCCGCACGACAAAGTAGAGCTCGCTTTCCACGCGTGGAATTTCCTCCGTGGAGCTCTCAAGGACGAGAAAGACATGTTTGGGTGCGGTGGTAGCTCGTCAGAGGCCGAAAGAGAAAGAAGGTTGACTCAAGACCTTGTTGCTTAGAGAGTAAGAGACATGCGGTAGGCCACACCATCGCCATGCAGCATGTCTGTCAATACATTCCATCCGCGTACCCCCCGG